GTCTTTGATGTAATCCTGTTTATTTACAAATACCTGACTCCATAACTGATTTCCCCTCACGAGTGGAACCACCTGCAAGACCCTGATTTTTTGGCTAACCGTTTGGGTCAAAAGGAGTGAGAGTATCTTTCACCTTGCACCATGGGGGGCATATAAGCAGAATCTACCTCCCAGAAGAAGATAACCAAAAATACTGCCATCTTATCAGCATTTCCCTGGAATTTCCACAGAGATCTAGACTTATTTATAACTGACATGTTCCTTTCCTAAGGCTCGGGCATCATTTCTTTGATTTTCTGTCCATCACTTTGGAGATCTTTTGTTCCACCAGAAGCAACTGGAACTAATAGCCCTGGGACAAAACAAAAACAAAAAAGTGAAGCAGACAAGTGGACGTGAGGGTGAAAGGGCAGCTCCACATCCAATTGTTAGGACAAGCGATGGCCTCTGTAGAAATGGGGAATCTGTTATGAGTGACAGACATCTGCCTAGTGCTAATGGTCTCTGGAAGGATCTAGACTCTTCATCATTACCCCAAAAATGAGAATGGTCAGAAGCAGCCTCCTCCACTTCAAAAGGGCCCTATTTGATAAATGTACTCTGATCAAAAAAACATCATGACAAAGTGAATGCAGTCCCCATCACACAAAAGGGAAAGAACAGGGAAAATGAGCAAACTCCTTTCTTGGAATATCCTTTCTTGGCCACACGGGTAGAGGCTACAACTCTTCACATTCAAGTGTGCCCCTTAACAACAATGGGGAAGCATTCTGTATTTCTATGATTCTGGTAAACTGCCTGAACAATCCTTTTCACTTAGGGAAATATGCACTTGAGCAAGCATCTAAACATGCTACAGAAAGCAGAGCCTCCCAGAAAGTGTGTCTAGTGGTGAAAATGGGGGAGGATATCTGGATTCCTGAGTTCATTTTCCACCTCTACTATTGATTTTCATTGTGACTTAGGGCAAATCTCAACCTCTCTCTGAACGTGACTCAGTTTACACATCTGGAAAATGATATAGTACATTATCTCCTTCAGAAACAGCTGCACTTTGTGATCCTTAAAGTGCAGAGTAAACTCCACCCTGACAAAAAGGTTCTATAGAGCCGTAGTTCTCAACTAAGGGTACATTTACTCCCTGGGGGTACACAGAGGTCTTCCAGTGGGTAAATCAACTCATCTAAATATTTGCCTAGTTTTGCAACAGGCTACATAAAACGCTCTAGAGAAGTCGGTACAAACTAAAATTTTATACAATGATTTATTTATACTGCTATCTATACTATACATGAAATGCAAGTACAATATTTTTATTCAGATTTATTTTATAATTATATGGTAAAAATGAGAAAGTAAGCCATTTTTCACTAATAGTGTGCAGTGACACTTTCGTATTTCTATGTCTGACTTTGTAAGCAAGTAGTTTGTAAGTGAGGTGAAAGTTGGGGGTATGCAAGACAAATCAGGCTCCTGAAATGGATGAAGTAGTCTAGAAAGGTTGAGAGCCATTGCTATAGAGGAAGTGGGGCCAAGTGGCTAGAGCACTGGACTGGGAGTCAGGATACCTGTGTTCCATTCCCAGCTCTCCTGCTTGGTAATCTTATGCAAGTCACTTCATCTCTCTGTGCCTCAGTTTCTTCCTCTGTAAAATGGAGAAAATGACTTGCCTCCTCTGTAAAGTGCTTTGAGATCTATTGATGAAAAGCAATAAGAGCAAGGTATTATTACTAACCTCAGCAGTAAATATCCAAAGCAAAAAGGCACCAAACTAACCCTAAGTTATAGCTAAAATAATTTGCAGATGAGAGATAACACCTCATTTAGAACTGGCCTTATTTGCCAAGAGCAAAATACATCCACTTAGAAGTATACATTGCAGTCCCACACATGGAGGACAACTGTACGCTTTTCCCTTGTAAATTTATTTAGCACCTTCCATAACAGTGCTTAGAAATTATCCATGATCAGTCTTGTGTGTATAGAAAATGTCACTTACAACCTTTCCTTGGGTGCCAATAGAAGAAAAATTAAATTAAAGTTTTAAAATGCAAGTGACTTTAGTGTACTGGGACATCATTATTCCTTCCGCGCATCCCCATTGTACGTGCGCCCGAGGTGTATGCTGAGTGGTACATACCACCCTTCAGTGCTCTGGTTCCTCCCGGCATTACCACTGATACATCATAGGTCTCTACGAATAGCTCGATAGAGCTCCATAGCATTCAAGGGTCTGTTCATAAGTGCTGATGCATACTCTGTAGTGACTTTGGTGCTCAGGAAGCAATTAAAGCTGGTAATCATACACTGGCAAGGCTGGCACTGTTGGGAACCTGAAAGATGTATTCATTCTAAGGCCCACAGCAACACCTGCTGGCTGTGGGTGGACTGCAAGATGAGGCAAGATGATTTGTGATAGATCAGACTGCAACTGTCAGTATTACATCGTGACTCACCCCCCACTTCCTCCTTGTATCTAGGTCAGGGGTTTTCAAACATTTTCATACTATGGACCACACCTCTTACCAGATGGGCCATGAGACAATCTTCTCTCCAAGAGCTTTGAAAGGGATATTAACCCTTGGCACTCCAGGCCATGAGCCAACCTGTAATTAAGGGAGGTTAAAAGGAAATTCTTGGGGTGGGGGACAAAGGGAGAAGAGGTGTTATTGCATCACTGCCTTCTGTAGGGTTTCTTCCACCTTCTCAAGCATCTGGCATGGCCCCCAGCAGATACAGGACAAGGAGGACTATTGGTCTGATGCTATCTGTCAAGTCCTCTATTCCCATAGACTATCCTTCCATTCTGTGAGTCTAAGGGTAAGGACCCTGTGGCAACTGTAGTAATTATTTACATGGAAGAGCATTCAGAAAGCGTTTCAATGTGCCCCCGAAAGGCCCACAGACAAATTTCAGGAGCTCCTATCTTTAGACATCCTGCTTATGAGCTTGTTAATGCAGCATGGTGTAGGGCAAGTTTATAATCACTATTTTATTTTCTTCAGTTACAAGGGAAATGATAGGAACTGGGTTTTGTTTTAAAAGAGGTTTTTATTTTTATACATTGAAACTAGACTTTCACCAGCTAATTTACACACACTAACAAGGTTCTTTCTGGGAGTAGATGCATCTTGAGATCAGATAATTCAGGTGCTTGTTTCAAAGAAAGAGGAACAATTAATACTAAGCTTTTATCTAGTGCTTTTCATCCATAGATCTCCATGTTTAACAGAGACATAAGTATTTTCCCCATTTTACTGAGGCAGGAAGGTGAAGTGACTTACCCAGGGTCACAAAAGAAGTTAGAAGAGCTAGTACTAGACCCCTGGGTTTCTAGTCCTGTGTCCTAGCCGGCAGAGCATCTACATCACCAAATGGCATCTTTGACCAGATTCTACCTGTGATCAGGAAAACTATTTACTCATCTTCCTTTACCTGTACCCCATTCAATATGAAGTTTAATAACCGACACTGACCTCTCTACAACACAGTCTTTTGCTAAAGATACCTTGAAAATGGGCAATTCTTCCTAATATAGCTTTACAGCCGATTTTTCACTTTCAAGAGCTCAACTATCGTTCTCAAATGATTAACAGTTTAATAGCAGTAATTCACTTACAACTAGTTGTTACTCTAGTTAATGACTGTTTTCTTACAGACTTAAGAGCCTCTGGCTTCACCTCAGGCTATTCAGAACCTTATAGTTATCTACGGAGGATGGCAGATCCTTCTGAAGTTCTACTTTAACCCACATTTATTTGGGTTCTCCAACTTGTGCTATTTCATTTGTGTTGGCATCAGAGTTTAAAGTAGTCTTTAGCACAAGAAGTGTTACACCATCTAGTGCAGTTTATTTAAAGAAAGGTGTAGAGTCCTTTGCTACCCTGCTTTATCAGAACTTTGCTCAGCCTAACAGTAAGAGGCTGTGACCTCTGGAGCCTAAAGGCATGTGCTCTAGTAGAGCTCTCATTCAGCTCTGTTTAAGACTGTTCGGTCCATTTTACTTTAATAACGCGACATTCTGCATGTCAAAGGTTAAGTGTAAAAAGCTAATATGGGAAGGTAAGCTGCCTAATCCTAACCAAAGAAATGACCCACAGCAATTGAAGAGAGTGCCTGGCTGCCCTATTAATGAAGTTATATCAGCACATGACAGGCCTCTGTGCAGCTCCTGGTGAACAGGCTGCAGTAACACAAACAGAATTTGCCTGCATGTAAACTGGGATGTGTTAGGCAAACATCTAACTACGGATAACTACCCCTTGCAGCTCATCCACATGGACACTAATGATACTGCCAGGTACGATCCTGAGCAGATCTGTAGTGATAACAGGGGTCTGGGAGTGATTGTGAAGGACTCAGGGACACAGATTGTGTTCTCATCCATCCTCCCAGGATTCCCTTAGTCTCGTTGCTTCAGATGAATGGACAGAGTGAAAGGGGACAGCCCAAAAACACATTGGGCAGTCCACCTCGCCTACAACACACTGAAACCTTGTATTATACAATCAAGGAAAGCATAGCCATGTTTAGGAGAACCTTGTTAGCTTAGGCATCACCCAGGTTAACAGGCCCTAGAGTTGCATTCATAATAAAGTTTTGTACCCAATTTTGAGCAGCTGCACCAGTGCTACTGTGTAAATGCCAGCATAGACCAGGCTCAGGCATTTTTAGCATCCTGTCATGAAACCCCAGGTTCACACCCTGAGACAGGAACCCTCAACAGCAGCAAAATGAGGGGCAGCATCACATTGAGCAGCCCTCCATCTCCATGCATAGCGCTGCTCTGGTCCTGCTCCCTGCATGCTGCCACATCACCTCTTTGCATGTACGGGGCTGGGGTCCTGCTGGGGCATGGCTGTGTTTTGTCCCAAAGCAGCCGCACCTTAAACAACTTTCAACAGCAGATCCTGAGGATGGGTTGAGTCACCACCTCCATAGAAGAGGCCTTAGTAGTCATAGTTACCTACAACTAATGGAATTAGTATTTTACAAGTTACTAAAATTAATTAAAGGTCAGATTAAACTTTATTAAAAATTCTTCTAATATAGAAAACGAGAGGAACCAAACGCAACAAACTAATGCCTAAAGTTACGTCTCCTTACATCAGTTACTGTATTTACAGTGTTAGATGGAAGTAGTAGTCCTGGTATTTAGGGAGAACTACAAACACAAACAATACATTGTACAAACCCAATCTATCATTAACATTTCACTGCAGCAAATAATTCGAATCACTTGCTCAGACAGACAGCAGAACAGCACAGACAAATAATACTTCACTTTGTTGTTTTCACCAAAGGTTTTTCTGTACAGACTGAAATACTGATCAGCTCCCTGCTCCACCCCTCTGACACCAAAGGGCTTCCAGAATTGTGGCATGAATGCCATATATTAGAAATGCTAATCAGGTTAATTTAGTGTGATATGTAGTTTTGTCAGCACCCCTGTACATTAAAGCAAGATGGTATACGAATCAGAATTTGTCATAAAAGAAAATTAACTATCCATTCTCTAGGTAAATTGAGAAACTGAAATCAAAGAGGTAAAACAACAGTGCTCAACTGCATATGTCTATAGATAGCATACCAACTTAAGGCTCTAACACTGTTGTACCATCATACATTTGTACCATCATACATTTCTGCTTGTGTACACGCGCACGCACACCCCAGGGGAATAAAGTTCCTATCTACTTTTTCAAGAAACCGTGAGCTAATTTAAATGGTCTTTCCCAAGTACGAAATTTATTAGCTGAAACCTCTCTGAAGTCTGTACTGCAGGAAATGAAAATATAATAGGCAAACACTGTTTCAGATTGCGATGTCTATACATATTGAAGTTTTTACACTATCTACATGACAATGATTAAATGTTTCTTTATAAGTTTTACTACTCATTTAAAAATGCTAAAGAAACTGTACAGTTTTTTTTTTAAGAAGTTCATAAAAACGACTTTGTGTATGTTTCATATAAAGGGAATTAAGGGACAGGAGTCTGAAGACTAGAAATATGCAGTGTTGATCAAATCAATTTAAAGTCCGATCAAGCATTTAACCAAAAAATATTTCTAAAATGTAAATTTCTAGTTTTCTGTTCATCTTGACATACAGATGACCAAAGATACTATGCATTTTAAAATTAGGAAGAATTTAAGTTATGAGACCCTTATTTTAATCTGCGCTACATACAAAATGTATTGAAAAGCAAATATAACTATTAAATAATTTAATACACAAGTGTAGTCAAAAAGCATTGTACATTGTAGCAAATGTACATTGAGTTTCAGAGATACAAAATTACCAGGTTAATTCAAATTTACACAGTTTGTGAAATTCTGCGCACGGGAAGAAGGCAGGAGAAAGGGAAGGGAGTTTGAATTCAAATAGAGGGACCTATGGTGGATGATAGGTCAGTTGTCAAAAGATATAAACAAGCATGCCATTCTGTCCAGAGAAGATTGGAAATGCAGCACCACCCTCCTATGTAGAAGCAAGTGTTGGCTAGACAGGTAATAGGTGAAATTCCCATGATTATTTTCTATCGCTTTACAACAAGCTTTCTATAATTTCTACCGATAGAACAAATCAATCCATATGTGCCATGGTATTGCCAACAAGAAGCTAGAAAATCACCTCTGCAAACTGAAGAGCTGCACAGAGGATAATACACGGCCTCTTCATCACCCATAGCCTTGAAAACCACTTTCAAGACTTTGGGGCACAATAACTTCCCCTGAAAGCTTGAAGGCAGTAATGCCACAGGAGGCAACGTACCTGTGTAGACTCAAGTAAACATGCCTGGCTTGTCTGGAGACCCTTCCTGTGAACCATCCCTAATGGTTTTGTTTCCTCCCCTCCACACTGCTTCACAGAAGAGGCATTTGACTAACATTTATAATGGATTTCTTTCAGTTGAATGGGAACATGATAGGTGAATAAAGAGCTTAGGGTGGATGACAAGAAGGCAGGCAAAGGAAGAGTGCTTGTGAATAGGCCGATCTTTGAAGGGAATTATTTAAAAATATTTGTATTAATTTGAATATTACATTACAGAACAAGAATGTTCCCTATCAGCGAGAAACCAAGACAGAGAGAGACACTCCCACCCCATTTTGTAAAGGCTCCATTCTTTAACACACATCCAAATGCAAAGTATAAACACTTCTAAACCAAGATTCTTTCATAGGATTTTCAACTGACCAGCACCCAGAATTGGAGGCATATTTTTAAGACAAGTCAGCAACCAGAAGTTGAGAACCATGAGGGTGGGGTGGGGTGCTGACCACCACTGACAATATGGCCACTTTCCATAAGTGTTTCAATGGGAGGTGGTGTCTGTTCAGCACTTTTGGAAATCCGGCCATAGATGTATGAGAGAAAGACTAATTGCTTCATGCTCCAGAGTAAAGAAGGGATGTCCTAAGACAGGGGTCTGGATGGCACATGGAATATGGCACCATTCACCTGAACATCATTGGCTGAAATCCAGACAAAGTGACTGCAGGGACAGCGGCTTGATTGCCAGCGTGAAAGGTCTATTGCGCCAGTGCCCTTCCTAGTGGCAGATATCCATACCACAATCTGGCACCTTTACTGGCAGTCCCATCAGAGGCCAGGGACAGAATCCACCTGTTGAGAACTGAGGCCACAATGGTACTGTGGTGCAAGCTTGCAGTGCTCTTATGAGGAGAGAGGATTTCTGTCCCCAGAGCTGTCAATCTGGGACCCTTCTTGGGAATGCTGCACTGTGCTAAGTGTCAGTGATATAATTCAAAGGAACTCAGCAAAGTATACTCTAGGTAGCATTCCTCATGATCAACTGGCACAACTCTTCTTGGGTACAAGAACGGCATTCCAGTCTGGGCCACACAAAAAACCAGACGACATACACTGGAGATAGTGTGTCTTCTTTTAAATCAACACAATCACAAATGTTGTTTCTATTTGTATAATGATGAGAAACCAGGGATGCTTGTTTGCATAAAAGTACCCATAACGTCCTGTCAGCTCACAAAGATGCTGTTATCTTCCGAGTTCTGGAAAAAAACTAAGTTCATGCTGCATCAATTACTGCTCTGCAGGCCTGAAATTGAAGCATCTCCCCCTATCAGTTTTGGAGACAACCATCTTCCCCCTACTGTGCATCTAACGAAGCCTAAAATTACCATGGCTTGTGCATCAGCACAGCTCTGAGAACAGAGGTTAAACAGCTGCAGGGCAGCAAGCAGAAGGATCACATAACCCCATCGTTACATGGACAAAACAGATTTTTGTCCCATTTACAAAAAAATACATATATCGCTCAATGATCAAGTAGTAGACTTTGATTTCTAGAAGGCAAGTAATGTGCAATCAGGCAGATGCCAGATTGCTAAATAGGAGAACCACCACCCCAAGAGACAAGTTTCAAATACACTCCTGCTAGACTCAACAATTTTAAGGTCAGAAAGTTGCCCCAAACATAAGATTAGCATTTCTTTAAAAAACCTACCGATATTACTGGAATACCAGCAGTACTCCTTTGATTAGAAATCTTAATAAGTATTTTTCTCATGAAATATGCAGAATTAAATAGGTTTCAAAAAGAGGAAACACATTTAACCCTGTCTGATGACCTTTACACCACTCTGCACTCGACACGCTGGAATCCCCGCTCTGAGCTGTTGACACTGCTCCACAGAATTCACAACTGCCAAACTCGACCCCGCAAAATGGAAATGACTGAGTTGTGACATCTTTCCTATTTTGGCAGGCAGCTGGACAGCACACAGAGAAACACAGTAACTTCACAGCAGCAGGGTTCCAAAATTTGAGGTACAAAACAGAAAAGTTGCCGCCCAGCAGATGGAAAATCATTTGGAAACGCAAGATTTCCCAGGTGCACGTGTTATTCTGTTGTAAGCCTCTTCTATGCAGATATTCATGTCGGATTTGGGAACTGTCTACCCTAAACCACACACTTTGTTTTGCTTCTCTCTTCAACAGTCTACCTAGTAAATGAGCTAATTTTTACCTTCATGATGGGATTCCAATACTTTTGCCACTCTCAAAGCCTTGATACAGAAGAAGAAAGGATGCCACTTCATGAACCAACTTCTGAAGCTTGTTGTAACCTATGGCTAGTCATGATTCTATCCAATTATTCCCAGGGAGTGGAGAGCACAGAAAACAATAAAAGCAGACATGCATCATTTCAGGTAGGGTTTAAATATTTAGATTATGATCACTGCTCCAATCTGAATACATTCTTCATTTTCTGGTATTGTCTTTTTTAAAAACAGACATCTAGCCAATTTAAGGAACAAGTGTTCCTCTTTGTCTAAACCTTAATTCTGGACAAGAGGAAAACAAGTTAAAACCAGATTGTGAGTATACACACAAACTAGCTGTATGTTCACACAGGCTACATAAAAGCAGCTTAAAATGCCCTTCTCGCTTTGTAAGTCTATGAAATGTACATTATGTGATTATCAATCCATTTCCTACGAGGCCCTTGCTAGAAGAGGAATTTGCTTTTTCTTCTTTGCAGAAAAGGTTGTGGGAAAATGTTCTGTTCCCCCCCATTTTGGCTACATTTTTTAAGCATTGTCCTGGTAGTTTCTCTTTCACAGGAGACTGGCCAGGCTGGTGGTGGGTCCATTCTGAGCCTGGAACTGTACAGGAGGCGGTCCATCTGTCCACTGAAAGATAACATACAATATGAAAAACCTATATTCACTACATGGGAGGGGGAAAAAAATCACAGCAAGGTCACAAATGAAGAGTTGGCCACATAATATTTACCACATTGAGATAATAAAAATCAGGGTATCAAAAGTAGTTGAGAACCAGAATGTTTGATTTTTTTTTTTAATCAGCCAGGAGTCCATTACTAGGAAACACCACAGAAACAAAATGCTGCTATTCAAACTGCCAGTCATTCCTGGGTCCAATTTAATTTCAGACATTGGTCTCTTATTTCATTTGACCTAGGATTGACAGGCTACTGAGTGAATGCATTTCCTGTTCCTTCCCATAAGAATGTGAAGGTCCAATCCTGAAACCACTCACACAAGTACAGATTTGATGGATAGGGCCCCAAGTTGAGTTGGTCTGTACAAGTCAATTAAAATGTTCAAGCTACAACCAAAATTAAATTCAATAAAGGCCTGTTCCTCACCCATCTTAATACATTTGGGTGTTTTACATTTTACAAAGTCTGCTGAGACAGAAAATTCATTTTTGTAATATACATTTTTTCCAATCCATACTATCTAGCCTATGCAATCAGAACATGGATTATGAAAAGCTCAGCAATGCAGGTCGACATCAAACTGAAGTCATTAGCACAGCACTATCACTGAAATCTGTGTCCTCTGGGACTGCAGGTTTTATACACATGCTCCTGGAAATCACACAATTGCTGTGGGCATCTTTGTAAACAAGAGGTTATATCTCAAGCATTCCCACCCCTGGGAAATCTCTAAAGGGACCTACTGCAGACTAAGCAATTAAATGATTTCTTTCCATTCTCCCTCTCATTTGGTCCCCAGAAAGTTAAGACATTTAAATTATTAATAATTAAAAAACAAAATGGATTGACTTCTTTACCTCTTCAAAACAATTTGAGTGTCAAAACATTTTGACACTGATACAGTCAAAGTTAGGGAGTCAGAGATTAAGGTAATTATCTGGATACCAAATTAAGACACTGTATTTAGTTCTGTTAGAAGTGAATCTAAGTGGCTTCAGAAGATCAGCACATTCAAAGGGGTGAAAAAAAAATTCAGTTTATGGCAATGTCTGTATAGATACAAACTGTGAAATTAAACCAAAGACATTTCTATTTAGGCACAGAAAATGTCAACAGTAGTGGATATTTCTTGCAATGTACAAGACAATATCACTCTCAGATTGAAGACCTGGGTGCACTACCATAACCTAATATATCCAGAACATAAGTGGTTTCTTGCTTTTGAAAGCAAGAACTGTAAGTAAAATGAACCAGATGATGGGTTACAAAAACCACTTTGCTCATGCAATAATCATGCGACACTCAGGGAAAAGCACACTTGAGAAATAAAGACATCACCAACCTAACAGCCTGTACCAAAGTTAACTCATTAATTTGATCTCCATTTCTCTTTCCTGTTATCAGTCCATTATAAATATTAGGAAGCAGCCTGAAGTTTGGTGACTTACTGAGATGCTTGTGTGTTGGGGAAAGGGGTGGCAGACAAGAGAAGAGATCAGTGTGTTGCTTTACACACACCGCACGGTGGAAGAGGAAGACTACCTACCGTAATTAGGTTGTGTTCTGGAAGACTACAAGCTTCAATATGGTCCTGAAGAAGCTGCTGTGAAAAGTTCTGATGCATCTGTGCAGCCTCATGAGCATCCATTGCGTTTCCACAGGCTTTGTTCAGATCTGAAAGAGAAAGAAGTGGAGTGTGTCACATTTTTGTACTGAGAGAAAGATTAAATGGCTGACAGTTCGGGCAGATGGCATTTTTTGATTGCTTAAGAATGCCCCTTTGTATTGTCTGGAGGAAGAGATCACTTGTGTAGCCCCATGTGGAACTTCCTTCCTGTCCCCTACTTTATATATATATAAAAAAAAAAAGTCATTTTCAAGGGACACTGAATCCAAAGTTTTTTAAATTGATCATTCCCCCTCGCCCCCAAAAAGTCTGCCCTTTAAATAGTATGCTCTGATACTTTTATAGCAACTCCTCAGAGAAGTTTAATGATGTTTCTGCTACACTAGGGATGTTTATGAAGTTATTTTCAGCAAGGGAGAACAATGAAAATAATGACACAGGGTTAGTCTACACTAGAAATCCTGCAGTGGCACCACTACGGCAGCACTGCCTTAGCACTTCAGTATTCACACTACCTACGCCAATGGGAAGGGTTCTACTGTCAGCATAGGTAAACACCTCCCCGAGAGGCAGTAGCTAGGTTGAAAAAATAATTATTCCATTTACCTAGCACTGCCTACACTGGAGATTAGATTGGCTTAACTATGTCCCTCGGGGTATGGATTTTTCATACCCCTGAGTGATGTAGCTGGGTGGACCTAACTTTTAGTGCAGACTAGGCAAAAGGCTGGAATTTTCAAAGGGACCCAGAGGAATTAGGCTCTTAAATTCTACTACCATTCAGTGGGAGTGAGACACTTAACTCCTAAGGCTTCCAGCTTAAGTACTGTCTACTGCACAAAGTAAACATACTGAAAAGACAGAAAACACTCCCTCTTTCAATCCTGGTAATGCTGGGTGATACCTGTAGCTAGAGCAGTTAGATCATTCAGACGGAAAGGTGAGTTTGAAACTGATGGCCCTTTATAACAAAAATTTACTTTTCTTATTAGTCTACAACTCATTCTAAAGCACTCTGTGATAACTACCATGACAAGATGTACTCCAAGTGCTTTTACCTCAGCTACTTAATGGAAAGGCAAAATCAGACAGAACTGGACCAAAACGGCCAAAAGTGACATTTGGTGCTAACTTCTACCCTCATAGGCGCTCCCGCCCAGTGTCTTCAGTAGGAACGGCACACTTGCATCTGAGGGCAGATTAATCTTAGATATTGTATAAAATAAAAAATTTAACAAAATATGCCTAAAATACTTGATGCTATTACACCAGCCACATCTCAGATTCCCCACTATTGCACTGTTCTATTCTGCACAATGAGAGGGCAGGAGAAATTTCACTTTTGCTGAACGGTCTGTTATCTTTCCCTGTTTCAAAACTTTTATTTGTGCTCAGCTCAACATTTATTCTCTTTTTATTTTCAACCTCTATGGACAATACGCCAGTAGCTCCACAAGGACCAGTAATTTTTACTTGAACAGAAAATATCGGCTTGTTGTCAACCTTTGACAGTGTGTCTAGGTTACAGTGCCATCTATTGGGAAAAAAGCACGCGACTGCATGTCTTGGTAATTACAAGGAATTATATTAACCTGACAGTAGTGCTGATTTTAATAGAAGTTGAGTTATAATTTTCTATTACAAAACTCAAATTTTGTGGAGCTTTAAAACTGCGCTGTTTTAATTCACTACAGGCTGAAACTTGACATCACAGTCTTACCGTACGTAATGTTTGCTCATTTAAACTCGTTCATCCCTTTTTAGCTCAGACTTGCGCCAAAAGAGCCTCACAACACAATTCTCGCTCTCACATTATGAAGCGCTGTCTGGTGGAGGACAGTAGCACGTTGCATACAGGAGTCACGGTGCCTAGTGCCCCTTCTAGTAGCTTTGTCTCTCTCCACATTTGTCATTAGCATCTTTTTGGCATTGCTTGGGGAAAGCTGTCATAGCTGCCTTCACTTCACATCCCAGGCATTGCCCAGTTTGGATTCTGCCTTTCCCGAGATCAGTTTCTGCCAAAGATGCTTGCCAGTCTTCCCCTCAACCCCAACCAGCATACACAATCCATTTGATTTCGCAGGCTGCTCTAATATTAGGTGACTGAAGAACTTAGTTTCAACACTAAATATCTCCGTTCATACAGAAATTTCTTATCACTATGACACTCTTAAGCAGGATGGCAGTTGGTGCACACACAGAATAGGTTCTCAGTGTAGTGTTTCAATAGGTAGTTTCAGCTAAACCATATTCCACTTCCAAAGTTAAAATACATCTGAAGTTAACTGAATCTTTGTTCACAAGAGAAAAATATAAGTTTTCAAATGCAATTTGAAGACAGATGGAGAATCAGCGAGGCCCAAAAATTCAGAATGGCTGTTCCCACTGTGAGGAACTGCAGTGAAGAAGGCTCTCACCCCAAACAGAGGTAACATCGTGAAAAGTGATGAAGAGGAGGCCCAGGCTAGACAAGCTGAGGAAGTAGTGTAGAAAAAAAGGTCAAAGGTAGACAGGAGCACTGCAGTGTTAATAGTTGTGTGAAATTTCAAAATGCCATGCAGAGCAAAGTGGAAGGGACAGCTCTTAAAGGTGCCAATCTGCCCATAATACTTCCATTTTGCCAGGGTACTCTCAGTGACTAGTAGCCAAGTGCTTTTTCATCAGCAATTCTATGATGCGAACACAGGAGGAATTTATGAAGTAAAGTTGCATTTTTTTGTGGTCCAAAAGGGAAACCAGGGCTAAATAGGTAGCTATCATTATGCACAAATAATCTTCAGTTAAGCAAAAACGACGAATTCTTATATCTTCTATTATCAGAAACCTGAAGCAGTGCTATCCTGCAGTGAATACGATACTTATTAGAAATCAAACTCTCCCTTAAGCATCTTGTTTAAAAAATATATATATTTATATTTATATTTATTTATTTTACCAGGATGACAGTGCCAAGATAAAGAGCCTCTGGTGTGGTGTATTTTGCGGTCATACTGATTTGACTCCTAAATATTTTGTCACATTCTAGTGTACTAACGCAGGGCTGTTTTTTTAGTATGAGCAATTCCACAAACTGTCCATGTGCATGGCTCTCTCATCCCCCATTACTGAAGAGCTTTAATCTATTTCAAGGTGACTGCCATTTCCTTGAAAGAAACTTTATGAAAGACCTGTAATCACGTACAAGAACTGCAGACAAGAGGAAAATCTTAATCCAGGTGACTAGTGTCTGAAAAATGGTACTATCAGATGGCTGACTGTTCAGCAATCTATTCGCAGTAAATTAGTGGGTCACAGGCTAGTTACTAGTGGACAAGTAACCACATCAAGAATCAAGTGGACCTCTTGTAGGCAGTCCCAGCAGGTAACAGCCATTGAGACAGAGTTCCCCTCTCCACTCGAGGTCTCTCCAAGGCCTGGATAAGGCACATTGATGGGACAGTGTGGGGGAAGCTTATATTGCACCCGGACTGTGGATAAATCGAGGGTGTCGGTCTCCAGGGCTATCAATGCACCTCACACAAGAGCGACACTCACCTACAAATTAGAAAAATATTTCAATTGCCCAGAAGACTTTTTTAACCAAAGCAGCAGGAAAACAGGAGAATGTAAGTCTGGCCTTTCTTGCCTGCAGCGCTTAATGTGCAGCAGTTTTCGTAGTAACATGACTATTTATATTAAGTTGAAGCTGCAGGGTCAGTCAACTGTAGCATTAACACTGTCTGCCAAGAAACTAGTCAACATTTGTACAAAGCATCCTGGGTCTTGTGGGAGTCAAATTAAATGATATTTATGTATGAGGTGGTATAACAGTCTCCCCCGCCCTATTTATGAACGCTCTGACAGCAGCAGAAACTATGAAGTGAAACAATCAATGCTTGCAGTATCCAGGGCACAGGACAGGGTGAAGCACAGAGCATAATTGTTGAAAAAGGGATACTTTGTGAGAGAATCAACTACATACAAGGAGAAAACATCCTCTAGAATCCTGCCGATTCATTCACCCTGGCATCAGGCTAACCTGCCTTTCTAGTCAAGAACTAGATCAACCTCTCTGTGGATTAATTTAACGCTGCTCTTGTGCTAGCCACATGGGATTGCTAGAGAGCAATACAAGATTCTCTCCCACCCCTTTTGCAAGGTGTTCATGAAGAGACACTGAACTGCAGGCATTAGTGATTCTACTGCTGTAGCAAAACATGCAGGGATGACCTCGGCATCCAAAAAAACTGGGGCTGGTGTCAAGGTTAAAGATTCAATAGGCTCCCGGAACAGCCAGTAGCAACCATCTGGTATTTTCTTGGGGTTTACTTTTTTTGTTTTCCCACTTGACCACCATCTCTCCCTCCAGGTTTAATTTCCTTTCCTTTCTTTCACCTTGAACGCTAATGCTGAACTAGAAAAGGTGACATTAAGATTTGAGACTACCACTTCTGCTATCAGGCACTGAAAAGCCACTCAACCATTTCCCCCCTCTTTTTCAGACTGTGCTGCACCAGCTCATAACTGTCCCCACTGTCAGCCAATGTATCCTGATCTTTTTCTCCTCTGGGAATCGCACCTCTTTAGTGATTAACAGGTGGTGTTATTACTAGGCAAACAAGATCAGCATACAAGTTGGCTGATAGTGGGAACAGTTAGGAGCTAGTGCATTAGTCTGAAAAAGTGGGAGAAAAATTTTCTTAAAAATTACAGGCTTCCAATGATACACCAAAGGCCAAGATTTTCAAAAGGGACAGATTGATTTTGAATGTCCAATTTGCCACCTTAAAGGGGCTTGACTTTCAGAAAGTTCTGAGAACCATCCTCTGAATATCAGCCCCACATAGTGTCTTCAGGTGGGCACCCAAAATCCCAAGATCATTCTGCCCAAAATCAGGCCATCAAGTGTGCACAGCTGCAAATGAAAGGCGACATTAGCATATGCGAGTTGCTGCACAGCAAGACTGATAGTCAGGATTTTTGACACTCAAGTGACTGGAAGAAGCACCTGATTTCCACGCACTTTAAATATGAGCATATCTGGTCATAAAATTAACATTTCTTGTCTTCAAGACACACACACACTCCTAAAAAAACTGAGTACATAAGATGTTTATGCCACTAACTTCTTGGTAAGCATTAGAACCGAAAAGCATTGTCTTTTCCCTCTCCCCAATCCTGAGAACTCAACTTGCTACTTGTCTTGTATACAGACATATAGGAGCAACACTTTGACTAACTTACCTCGCAGCAGAGCTGAAGACCATAGTTGCACAGACATGTCTGGGATCTTGCTAGCAAGTTGCATGGCTGGTACCACCATGTTATTACTTTCCTAGTCAAGAATGCATATTAAGGTCAAACACTCATTGTAGCCACAGATATTTTTCTTTAAGGTATAAAAATGTCCCATAAAATGTATATAATAAGTGTCACAATGGAATGCTCACAGTCCCCCAGCTCTCCCCCCACCCCCACCCAAAGATATCCACCGCCAGATAGAATGTCTAGCTAACTCTTAACCCAACACTGTTCTCGTGTATTAGTTAAGATCTACTAAGGGCAATTTTCACCTATGCAGTAACATGACAGACAGCGTCACTCCTGGGCTATTAGAACCAATCTCATGTGAGATTATAATTCTTCTATATAACTCCAGTTTTGTTATTTCATCAGTTACTGGATCTGCTGCAGCAAACTAAATCCAAGCACCAGATATCAGAATTTATTTAGAAGAGAGAGTACAAACACCTGAACACAGTCTATACATTATGTGTATGACAGATTGACAGAGTACATATAGGAAGTTCAGAATTAAAGTTTACTGCTCCCTAATGCATAAGAAAAGCAAAGGAGGACTGAGAGATGGCAGATGTAGAGAAGGGCTACACTATACAAGGGGCCAATTAAAACTAGCAACTTTAAAGCAAGTGACCTATTAAGGATTTTGTTTCAATATATGAATCACCAATAATTACAAATATTAAGTTATTGCTGAAATTGAAACTTTGATAACCACAGAATGGCTGCCATGTTCCAACCCAGGAGGTGGCTGTGTTTCTGAGGTAGGACGGTAACCCCTAAAATACAGTCTAAAGTGGTCTAGGATCTTTCAACACAATAGGAATTGGAGTACATCTACTGGGCACATCAGGGAAAACATGCTGTGGCATGCATCAGCTTGTCACAGCATGAGGATTAAAAAAAAAAAAAAAACTGAATTCAGAATCCTTTCTAAAATAATCCAGTTTAAACCATTTCTCCTCTACTTCGATCCTCTTTTCAAGTGATTTTAAACATTACAAAAATACAATCTTCTGAAATAGATTGCAAATGTCACTGCTTTGTCAATGTTCCATTAAACATGCAAATCACAAATTGAAAAGTCAATACGCTGCCCACTTTAGGTAGGATACTGCAATGTATGGAACTCTTAAAACAGATTAGTTTTACAAAACCCACTGATTTTTTTTGGCAAATAGTAAGTAAAACAAGGGTCTCAGTAGTAATACTGAAGACTGTAAAAGCTTACCCTGTGATTCCCTAACACATAGAATATATGACCCAGGAGTACAAGAGAACATGCTGTTAATCGGTTCAAGTCTTCTGCATTTGACATTTTCAGTGTCTCTCGCAAAAATCGTCTACCAAAACAGAACAAAAATAAAACATTTTATAAAACATTCTCTTTTCCTTCTAATATGTAACAAACGTGTCATAACCATAATCCAGAACAGAAAGACTAACTGTGGAAGTCAAGAGGCAAATACTGGGACTCGGGAGACCTAAGATCTACTCCCAGCTCTGACACTGGCTGGTTGCGACACCTGTGGCATGTCACGTCCCCTCTGTGTGCCTCAGTTTCCCTATCTGTAAAATGGGGATTACAATACAGACATTTGTAAAGCACTTTTGAGATCTACCAATGAAGAGTGCTAGATATTGTCATTAGTAGAAATTCAAAGATGTAGAGAAGAAAATCTAAAGGGGAATTTCTCTAAGCTGTTTGTCAATCCTATTTAGACAAACAGCAAGTATTAAAATCAGCCTGGACAAATTCAAGGGGAGAAGGATTCTGGTAGGCCTGGAAGAGGTCCCTTTCGCTCACCCCTTCCAAAAGGCACTGACTTTGCACTCACTTTGCTTCATTGTATCTGCCTTGGAAGAAGGAGAACAGTCCTCGGATGTAGAAAGCAGCTGCTCGGAGACAGTGAGAGCTGGGGAGAAAGCGATAAACTTAAATCCAGGAGTTTTACAATCATTACGTGCGTGATACAGGGCGATACATTCTAGGAATTTATTTGCCAACATTTCATAATCAAAGCACAAGTCTTTGCGCCAATGACTGAAAAAACGGTAAGACCCCTTCCTTGACATCAAAACTGTTCATTTGCTTTTCATGCTATGCTTTTTTTTATTTTAAGAATTTTACAAGGCAAAAACACCCTTGCAAAAATAGCATTTAGAAGATATCCAGAATCCTTACCTTACAGGGAAGTTGTGGTCTGGATTTATCCTTTCCAATAAACTGTAAAGCTGTAGTCAAGAAACAGAAATGGAAAAAAAATGTTTCTAACAAGCATTAGCTTACAACATGGGATACCAATGTTTTCATGGGAGCAGTACATAAAGCAGAATGCTGCAAGTTATATAAAAAACAAAGGAAACATTTGCTGTTACTGGCCAGAACACAGGATGGAACATTCCAACATTGGAAGGGTACCATCAGCTCAATATTGGCCCTAAAAATCAGGTTTATAAAGAACAATTTTCTATTTTTTTTAGACTTTGTAAGTGTTAGCATGAAACTTCAAATTTAACTGGAAAGACTTTTAATGGAAACATATGACTGGAGTGCTTGAAATCCAAAAGCTGAATCATCTTGCTAACTAACAAGAACCAGAACCTGACACTAGCCAAAAATTAAGTTGACTAATTTTCATTCTCCAGCTTCCCTTTTTAACGTGCTTCGTGCTTTTGCTTGTTCAAATTGACAATGTACCATTGTCCACAAAAGACTTAGCATAACATTTGAAAGTACAGTACTGTTTCTGAAAAGTAGCTAAAGAACCCAATCGTAAGTGCTAGAGAGAATACACAAATGCTGCTGTACAAAATGATAAATACTTGACAGTTGATGTAAACTTCTTTGGGAAGAGGGTTGGTTGATCAGTCCTCTGTGGGTAACAATTAACACCTGCAAATGTCCATTTCCAAACACTTCGCCATCATTTAATTAATTCTCATTAAACTCCATGTAATGTAGATATTGCCCTTAGATACAGAGGGAAACTGAAATGGACAACTTAAGTGACTGGCTCAAGATCACAGAGGGAGTCAGTGACAGGCCTGAGATTAGGACTCAAGTTCCTGACTCCCACTGCTGTGCTCTAACATCTAAATCACACCTCTCTGTAGGATCCAAAATGCTCGTTTCCTTTAATGGTCTGCACTGGGCCAACTCATACCCTCAAGCCCCTGTAAGTATTATTATTAATAAATGACACTACTTTGATCAGATGGGTGGTTGCCCAACAAAGCACTTGTGGCAAAGCACACCAAGAATGAATAATCAAAGTGCTGTCCTAAAATTTGTTCCTCTTGCATATATGCACCTTGTAAAGCCACAGATCAGAAGCAGCCAGACACATACCTCTTGATGTCTGTTGCCTTCCCTGATGTACACACTGGCTAGGTTTGTCACAATAAATGCCCACAATTCCTGATGTGTGGTGAGCTAAAATAGAAGAATATAAAATACAGACTAAAACCAGAAATAGCTGGAGTGGTATTCGTTACTAAGCAGCCTGTTTACAGCCCTCACAAGACAAAGAAATAGCCCAGCCCAGAAGATCCAAGCCATCTAGACACTCAAAAGTGCATTCGTACACAGAACTCATTTCTGAGAAGCTAATAAATATTAAACCCAACAGCAGTCTGTAAAAGTCTCTAAAGCAAAATACATGACAGGCAGCATTTAAACACCACATTCCTGTGGTGAGGCTTTTTTGTTTGGTTTCATTATTCCAACTCCTTAAGAATTTGCTGCTTTGTCTTTGTTTCTCTTCGGTCTCTTCATATTAAAGTGCTCTCAGTTTGGATGAGACGTAACTGCTAAGCCAGCCCTTTGAGCACAGCGTGCTCTGATATTGCCACATTCTAGTAAAGAGAGATTGTTGCGAGCACAAATGAGAATATTAAAGTACTCAGGCTCTGCACCCCCCAAATCTTAATCCTCCCCCTCTCATCAGAAATAGTGGAATGATCCATTCAGATGTTTCACTGGGTAAGATAGCTTTGCCTTACCCAAGGAGATGTAAAGCAATACACATGGCTGCTTCATAAAAGGTTACTAGAGGATAGACCCTAGAGAAATTGAAGGTAAGTCTATTCTGTGCCCACTTCTACATTTAATAGAGCTACAACAAGTAGTTTTAGCATTAAATCTTACCCGCAATGCTGTAGTAAACTGTGCTTCTGCATTGTCCATGCAATTAACAGAAATGCAGTAAAGCCCCTGTAAAAGAAAGTGCGTTTTAGACTAAGCATTCTAGTAATTGTAGCAAAATTGCAATTCTGCAAGTAAAGGAGATGATTGTAAGTCTGATCCACTAAATCCTGAAGTTATGAGGCATTAACAGGAAAACAATTTAATGTGTTATGCCAGACACCACCAAGCCTCAGTTTTGTTTGGTTCACTTGAGAAGATCAAGTAATTCCTGTATTGCCAACTTCTCATCCTATTATTGTAAAGTTCATTTCTTCTTACAATCTGTTTCATAGAAACATTAAAAATACAAATTCTACATACAGTGAATCATCTGATGCTTATTCTGTTACCAAAATGCATTCCCTAAAGCATACAATATACCTTGTGGATGTTCACTTGCAAAGCTCCCATACTTAAATGTGCTGTATTTTTAAAGGAGAAGCGTTTAAAGAGTTAACAGTTCCACGGCTATTACAAAATGCTTGGTGTTTGCTTCAAAGACAGATTGAGTCAATTCACAAGATTTCTAGAAAATGATTAAATGATCTTGCTTGGTGCAAGTCTAAAAAACGGGCTGAGGTTTGCATCACTATAACAGTTTTCTTTTATAATGAAGGTGGAACTCTAGGTATGGTGCCCTGTATAGGCCAAAATTCAACAGTAATCGTGTGTACTCACTAGGAGAGTATGCAGCTGCGCAGCATGATTAGAAAACAGTCTGGGAGACTGCTGGCAGAGTTGACAGACTTGTGAGATCTGTTAGAAAAAAATATTTTAAAAGGTTAAACCAATTATTTCTTTATTACATCTAGGCTGAGCCTGTCCCCACTTCCCAACTGCCTGACCTGTAAGAGCCATTCAGCTTCTTGCTGTGCTTGGCTCAAAATGAAGTTAAGCTGTGCCTTGCCCCTTTAAAGCAGAGCCCAGACACGCTGCAAGCTAAGCCTTACATAGACCGGTGTGCATACGCTTGTCCCCATACTGGGATGCGTGCACCAGTTAGTTTTCAGAATTATTTGCTTTATGGTAGATTCTATCATGTGCTGGGCACTATCCACCAACATGAAGTCATGGGTCCTGTCCTGAAGAGCTCACAATCCAAGACAACAGACAACAGACAAAAGATGGAAGAGAGGGACAAAACATTCAAAGGGTTTAAAAAAAACCGCCATGAACTATCACCAACTGCTCCTTTATTTAGGCACTATTACTTGGCTAATTTCTTCTAAGCGCTGTGGTAGGCAGTGTTAAACAATTTGAAAGGTCAGTGGACCAATTCAGAAAGCATGTTTCATAAATAAGGGATGGAATGGAAGACAATGCAGATGTTTGGGGGAGGACTGGACAAAAGGGAAGCTGAGACCAGTATTACCATCAGAGGGGAGAAGGCGGTCGTGACTTAACAAGACAAAGATAAGTAGGGAAGGGCAGAGTTGTGAAGGGCTGGGAAAGCCGGTGCAATATGCCTGAGCTTGAGTCAAATAGAGAATGGGGAACCAGTGGAAGAATTCAAAAGGGGGATGACACATGATCAGAGGAACAAACAAGGAAAATGAATCTTCAACTGCATTTTTTATGAACTATCAGGATGGAGAGGAGAGCCTGGATGACAGTTTTAGCTGTCTGGATAGAAAGAAACAGTTGGATTTTATATATGCACAGTTTGAAGTGCCTCGTGGTGGACACTATGTGGAAGTAAGGGAAAGAAGAGTTGAAGACAACTCTAGTTATGGGTTTGAGTTAAGAGTGACAGAAAAGAGGATGAGGGGAAAAGTATCTGGAACTCAGCTCTGGCCATTAGCAAGCTATACTATTTTAAAACCCTGTGAGTAAAATCTCTGAAGTGCTCTCAAATGAGGTATGGATGGAAGTTTAATTTCAAGGCTTAAGAACCTTGTCAGTGTCTTAAGGATTGCCAGACACTGCTATGCATGTTAGTAGTTACACTAAGACTACTGGGATTCCAGCGAGAGTCTGAACATGTTATTTGGAAATTAAATTTCCATCTTTTTAAACTAACATTTATTGCCAAGATTCATAAATATTCAGAAGATTAAACAAGCATGGAAAGATAGTTTTACCTCCTGCAGTGCTGTAGCTTTGTGCCCCGTGACAAGCCGACACATGATAATATGTTCCAACAAAATAACTTGGAAAGATGACAAAATAGGACTGCAGTCCAACACTAAGAGGGAAGCAAGGGTAGTTCAGGAAATAAAGTTATATAGCACTATAACATCCTAACCCCACAGCCTAGGCCCCAGATTTAAAAATTTTATTAAGATGACGTTAAAATAAAAATAGTGAACAGAGTTTGAGCATAGAAGTTTCTGGTTATCAGGGAACAACATACAGATTATCGAGGGTGCAAAGTTTGGTTTAAGATAAGGCGGCATGAGGAATACATAATCTGCAATGTCCCCGATTGGGGGTAAAAAACTACTACAAAGCTAGCTTCCCTCATGCCAACGGTTCAACGTAACTTCAGCACAAACACTTCTGAGCAGAAGTCTATATGAACTATGTGGCATTGGAGAAGCCTGCTTGCTCCCACCTACTGTTTCAGTTGCCACTGGGGAAGTGAGCCTATTTTTAAAACGAGACTTGTCTCTTGATCAGGGAATAATGGCAATCCAAGCTTCACTTAGCGGAATCCCTGGGGATCATGACTTTGCTTCCAATAAGTGAGATCTTGAATAGTCCAGTGATTGGATAGACAAGATTCCACACATCAGTTTAAAAACTGCTAGAACTGATAAATTAATCTTTTTGTACTCCCATAACCCAACAGACTAACCAGTAAATATATACGGGAAAGAATTCCTGTTCTGGAATCAGATCTTAATAAACCAACTTTCAGACCAGAGCAAAATTCTTACAGCTGAGCAGTAAATCCTCATACATAGGTTTATGGAAATAACCCTGAACAGATCAATAGCATTAGAAGTGCCTGTTCTTGCAAGTAGATTGCATTTTTTGGTATTTTTATGTTAGCACCAGATAAAGGTGCCTTGCAGCTCATCAAAAGTTTTAACCCCCATACTTACTTTTTAGCTTTTCTAGCTGCATGAGTGCTTTGTCGGTGTACTTTTGTGCCTTCTCCAGGTACCCTGCTTGCATGGAATGCATCACTGTCACCTGCCACAGAACATAAGAAAGAGGGTCTGAAAGTCTAGAGCCACACTCCAGAACCAAAGTCAAAACAATTTAAATCGTCAAACTGAAATCTAGTCTAGTTAAGTATTTTCAGGCACATGGATTCATATCTCCTTGCTTTGTTAAAAACCATAAGCTTCTGCCACTGTGAGTCATGAAGAACCAACATAGCTCTAGGAGAATGAACTGGATTCTACTTGGCTCATGTAACGATGTCATTGTTAACTAAGTTTCATTTTCAGGGCTTCTTGTACAACTCCTTTAAATGCTGCTGTTACTGAAGGGAATAAAAAGTTGCATAGGTGTCACAGACCGGAATTTGAAGCTAATGGTAGAAGTACAACAAAGCAACACGCAGCCTGAAAAACCTTTATTACCAGTGATTATGGACAAGCTAGAAAAAACAGCGCGACTTTCAGATCCCAGGTTTAGTTGGCAGGGATGATTGATCTGGAAATTAACACAATGATCATGATGCCATCTTTACAAAGTCACTTTCTAGAGCAAAACTCCATAGATTATTAAACTTCCATGTAAATTAACTGCTCTTCCAAGCTGAGTCTCCCACAATATAGGGCATCCACTGCTATTTAAAAGACCTTGATTGCCAACTGCAGCTTACCATGTGGTGACTTGGACTACTAGGCACTAAATTTGAGAGTACCAGATTCATGCTTACTTGTGACCACTCTGGTCTCAAGAAGCAAAAGGCTATTGCATTAAAAAACACTATTTAAAACACACTACAACAGGGTGCAGAATGGCAAGCTCTCCTAACCAATTCTTTCAGACCATGTTTGCCACCTGTCGGTTGTTTTAAGCCACATAAGTCACCATACTCTGACCTCAGTAAGTTTGAACTTACAGGATGAACTGCATCTTTTTGATCCCCGCGGAGAGCAAGGGTCAAGCATTAGATGAGAAGAACTATGTACATGTGGGAGGGCAGAAGTAAAAACTCTGCTCTGTGCTGTGCATTCAGTCCATACATAACAACGGCAAATTCCACACCCATTTAAAGAAGTAAAGTGCTTGTACTCTGGATCATACTCTGGATACAAGGTTCATCCTGACATGAAATGAGCACATTTATCCCACACCTCATCAGTTAACAATGGCCACTTAAGTAAAACAAAGCTTCTCACCAGGTAGACCAGCACACACATGTGCTCCTTCGGCAGCCAGTGAAAGAGATCTGCTGGGTTGCTGGGTAGAATTTCATCGTCATGAAGAGTCGATATGGTCTGAATGCACTGCTGCAGCTGCTTCAGACATGGTTTCACACTTTTCACCTGCGAAAGTTGATTCATATCAGACACAGGTCATGCCATCTGGGACAACACCTGAATATGTATATAGTTCAGTAAACATGCCAACCAGTTAACAGTCCTTGCCTTAAGGAGTTTAGTCTACTTTAAGGCATAAGCTGATGCAGTAATTTCACAACACACCACAGCCTTTTGGACAGGAATCTTTCCATGATTCACAAACATGCAACTTTGCAGAATTATCATTCACATACCTGCCCAGCATCCAGGTAATGAGTCACCTGTAGCACCAAGAAGAATACACGCAATGATTCTTTCTGGATGGGATTTCCTTGCCAGTTTTCAACGATCTGTCCGCACAAAGTAAGGAGTGGGTGCACTTCCTGCAGTTTCCGTTCCATTAGAAGAAGCTATAAGAAAAGCATTTCATGTATAAACAGTGCAGAGCAAACAGCTTAAATGCTCAGTGAAGCTGAGTCGAAGCTGTTGAGTGCTCTTCCCTTTTGAATGTCGAGCCTCATTTATTCAAGTCCCTAAATGTAGACTTAAGATGTTAACTTTAAAGGCACCCTTTTTTAAAAAAGAATTGGTCATTATGTGTTACTGGACCTTTTATCTTGCATCACAAAAGGGCTTCTTCGTGGATTATAATCAACTTCGTTAATCTGAGATATGCCTAACTAACAGTGCTTGATTTCTTCATGAAATTACTTGTGTGTTATGTGTATTATATTTGTGTATTATGAGCAGGCAAGACATTGAACTACATAAGAATCCTGCATGCCAAAGAGCAGATTTCAGGTGCATTTCAAACATCATGCTTGCTTACGGAAATGAAGCAGAATATGTTTGGCACAAGGAAGGCACACAACACACATTCAAACCAGACAATTTCAAGACCAATAGTCTTATTTTGTCCCTATAAACTGTATGAACTGAAGTAATAGTATTAACTTATTTGTTACTCTTAAATATATCCAACTTACCATCCCTTTACTTAGCAGAAACAGTGCCCTGAAATAAAACAAAACTGTGTCACAGCTCTAAGAAGGTACAACACTGAACAAGATATACTCATGAGAGAGAACTCAGGGTGAGAGCCTGCTGCAGATCTTTTCAGCACGGACTATACGAGGTCGGAGGAAACAAGCTATTGGTATAGGCATCACACTTATAATGCTTAGACTGCCTGGGACGCTGGATCAAAAGTCTAGTACAGGGGTCGGCAACCTTTCAGAAGTGGTGTGCCAAGTCTTCATTTATTCACTCTAATTTAAGGTTTCACGTGCCAGTAATACATTTTAACGTTTTTAGAAGGTCTCTTTCTATAAGTCTATAATATATAACTAAACTATTGTTGTATGTAAAGTAAATAAGGTTTTTAAAATGTTTAAGAAGCTTCATTTAAAATTAAATTAAAATGCAGAGCCCTCCGGACCGGTGGCCAGGACCTCGGCCGTGTGAGTGCCACTGAAAATCAGCTCGTGTGCCAAAGGTTGCCTACCCCTGGCCTAATAGAACCAACTCAGACCTTCACCTTTTCATGGTAAATGAAGTCCATGGAATCTATCATCTGAGGACCTTTGAAATGAGATCTTCCTAAAAGAGGTCCTGCCTGCTCTGCAAGGCCATCATCCCATGGTCCTATTTATCACAGCACAGGTGTCCTTGGTCAAATTTTGCCCTCCCCCATTACTGTGCACCGTGCTGTGTGCACTGGCTGGGTGCGAACACCCCAGCGGTGGCAGCACAGACTTTAGCGTACCTCTGACGTAAAAGACACAACATAAGGTAAATTATAAGACAATATGTGGGGTGGGAAAAGAGGGGTTTAATCAAACTTTTGCTGTTTATGAACCAAACCACAGAAAACACCCATTGTCCTCCACTCAAAGCAGCAATAAGGGTCCTGCCAGAGCTAGAAGAGGAAGGCAAGTTTAAAGTTGGAAAAAGGAGTCCAAATCACAGTGCCAGGGAATTAAAGAGTCCGAGGCTTTAGGTCTGTATCTAGGCCTTGGAAGGTCCCCATTTGCAGGGGAACCAAAGGCTAAAGCCTACATGTTGGGAAGATTTGAGTAGATGAGGAAGGCAAACAAAATTCTGTTTAAGAATAAGGATCTCAAGAGCTTTGGTGCAGAGTGCTGGTATTTATTTTCTGCTAAAAGCAGCCTTGGATAGGCGAGAGCAAGAGATTCAGATTTGAGAGCGAGAATACATGAGAATTACTGGTTTGATTATGATGGATTTACAGAAGCTCATTTGCAACCAGTGTCTATGTAAATTAGAATAAATTAGGAGAGGCAGATGAAGGAAACATACCTGGTATATTCTGATCCTACTACCCGGGCATATTCTGCTCCAACTCCTAGAAGGTCACATGCAGATACCAAATCTTTTTCAAGTGTGTGAAGTTGCTGAAGAGAAAAAAAATGGTTAGTTTTCAAGCTAGTGTTTTTAATGACTCAAACTTCCAGTTATGGTTTTTGGTTTTTTCCTTTTTTGCTCTAGGTACATAGTCCTGTTACAATAATTGGATATTTTGTTATGAAATTAAAGTTTGATACAACTGCTTAATAGGAGTTCTTTACATGTCACCTAAACATAATAGAAGCCCTTTTCAGGAAACCTTTCCTATTTCTCTTCTGGAAAAAGTCTTCAACATTTCAAAGAAAATCCCCTTCTAAACATTTTTTTTTACACTTATCCAAGTTATCATAAAGTAGAGGTGGTCTATTCTACATACAGCCTAATCTAAACCAAACATACAGTCAATAGCAGTGGTTCCTTTGGCAGGGAAGGCACTATCACAAAGTCAGTGAGCACCACGTGATATTCAATGCTCCAGGCCAGGGAAGAAGAGTGAAGTAGGGTTTTTTTTTTGTTTGTTTGTTTTTTTGTGATGCAGCCTTAGTTTTTGAAATTGGAATTTTCCCAATCTCCAGCCAAAAAACCAATTCATCTCAGTGAAATGTGTAACAGAATAAAGAATTCAGGCCTTTTGATCAGAAAGGAGCTAGAAACATGCCACAATACCAGCAACATATTTGGGGGTTGTAAGAAGAATCCTTCACAGATGCACAGAATATAACTGGAGGTTAAGCTTCCTATAAGTACACATACAACTCACTGATAGGTAAACATTTGTCCCTTAATTAACAGAAGTGCAAGGCTCTCAAAATCTCAACTCAAATTACACAAACAAGTCATTTTCAAGGAAATAAGTTGTTGCTATTTGCTTGAGCCTATACAGAACAGGGGAAGAAGAGGAGTAAAGGTGAATGTTAACACATCCTTCAAGAGAATAGTTTGGCAAGCTTCCTTTGAAAGAAAGTACCTCTAAAGATCAATTCCCTCAATTCTTATCAAACAGCCTTCATTGTATTCTGCATACCTAACAGGGCTGCTGAGAAAAGGTATATCTTGGAAGAGATATGGCTGAACAGTGCTCTCTTGACTGTGCAGGTCCAGCAGAGAGCATGACCTGCCTCTCTCACTGCGTGGTTAGCCTGTAAACTCTTCGGATGATATGATGTGCTTCTAATCTTAACAGGCTGGGATACCCTATAGATAGGTTAAGAAGTATCCTCTGAACACATGGACAACAAAAGTAAGGACAAGATGTCAAGCGCACCTCCTAATTCCAAGATTGTTCTCAGATGATGCCTAAAAACCAGTACTGTGTTAAATGTTCAACTGAAGCCATGCCTAAGAACATTTACGAAACAGGGACATTAACATTTCTGATGTTGACCTGAAGCCTTTGTAGTAATTCCACTTTCTAACCCAGTTCTGCTGTGGATGTTAGGGCAAGTGGAAAACAGTGGAACCCACACTTCTATCACACTTTCCTCAGGCAGGAAACTCGCTATTCTATCCAGTCAGACTTTATGGGGAGATTTTTGTTTTATGTACATTTTGAAGGGGATTCTTCCACCTTTTCTCAGGATTCTGTGTCCCTGCTAGAATCCTGAGGATCCCGCCCTCCCTTCTCCTGCTAGCCACATCACCACCCATGCAGGCAAGGAGGCCTGTACTAGACTCCATTTGAAGTCTAGCACAATAGTACAACATGAAGCACTCTCGACAATTCAGTCTATCCACTAGTCCCAGCCACTGGATGAAGAGACAGACACCCAAGCCTTGCTGCGTCTGCAGTAATACAGAAGTATTCTCTCCTCTTTGCAAAAATCTAGAAATTTACAAGTGCATTATACTTTCTTCCTACCATTTTCACAGTCCTTTTATGTAGCTTTATAAGGCACCTGAATAATACTTACGGCAAGCTGAAAAAGTAGTCTACAGTGCCAGTACGGAGTCTGCTGTGAAATCTGGATGGCTTTACGCAACAAAGGCTTTGCTGCATCAACTGAATTCTGAAATAAAAATATGTACCTTAAATTCAACAGTAAAACCAACCTATATAAGGAATCTTCAGCACTAAAAGCAGTGAGATTTAATGAAAGATATTCTGGTTTGGTCCCAATTTAAAAGTCTTAAGGCAAGAAAACAAACAAAACTGAAAAGAAACACTGACATGAGTAATCAAATTTGCAGTCCTCTAAAGATGTGCTGAACAATATTAGTAAAATCCATCTGTACACTCACATAACCCTTCATACACGCACAAAAATGCATACTAGAGATCATAAATGGGCTTGCTTGCAAAAACTGAAGACCCCTTTTTAAAACCTTTTAATAAATCTAATCCAAAATATTCAAGGCACATAACAAAAGTATCTCAGGCAACTCCAAAAAAGTTAGCCTGTCTTTTCCTCCATTACTAAAGGAATAAGTAAGGATAGTAAACTTATTTTATCACAGAATTTCTTAATTGTAACAGTAATAGCAACCAGCATAACATGATATATTGAAACACCTTGGAACTTCCATATTACTTCACCATAAATTAAGCTTCCCTGCACCAGAGATCACCCATAATCTGGAGTATGTTGTAATAATGTGTGCACATGTGGTTCTAATAAAATAAATATATATATGTAAATTGTCAAAAACCCTCCATCCCCTCAATAGGGCATTTATGATCAGCAAAGTACCATTTTTTTTAGGAGCACCCTCAATACACTTACCTCTTGACAGTACAGTTCAGACAGAAGGCTTGCTGCTTCAAATTTAACATCTTCAAACTGTGGAATCTAGCAGCCTCAGAGTTAAGTAAATATTAAACTTTGTTGCAATAAGTATTAATCCACCAATCAATGCTCAATATGCCAAGTCAAAGCTTACAAATTTAAGCAAGAAGCCCATGTCTGGAAATTGGCGAGAACTACCTACAAAATACTGAAACAGATTCACTCTGGCCAGTTATGTTTACCGAAATATGTCTCATTAAGTCCAGACTCTAAAAGTGAGTTTTCAGCTGTTCAAGTTCTACTGTCAGATGGTCAGGAAAGGATACTTGTTGTGATATCAACCACTGTAAGAGAAGACAACAGATTGCAGTAGTTAGTGCAGAGTCAACAATACTAAGGGGTTAATTTAAGAAACTGTCCCATGGCCACCCATTCTCTCACGCTACAATTTCTTTGGGAAACAGAACATGGCTTATGGGCCTCAATCAAGGAGTCGGCACGGTCTCCTGCCACGGCATGAAACCTTTCACTCTCCCCACCCCAAAAATCTCCCCACCAGCCTGTCCCCCGGCTCAGTAGGGCACCAAGTCACGAGCTGGCTGGGGCAGAGAGGGGCAGAGCAGCTGGTCACCAGTGCAGGGAGAGCTGTGGTCAGTGGCGCTCAGCCCCTGCCCCAAGGGTCCTCCCCCAGCCCCCCACTCACTCCCTGCCTCCTCTGGTGCCCGCTACCCCCGGCCTGCGCCGCCGCTCACCGCCTTCTCGAGGTGCCCGCGGGCCTGGTCCCCGTTGCGGGTGTGGTGGTAGAGCACGGAGCCCAGCTGCAGGTGGGTGCGGGCCTCCATGCGGGCCGGCGGCTTGCGGGGCAGCACGGCCTGCAGGCAGTGCACGCACAGCCGCACCTTGGGCGGGCTCGACGTGCGGAAGTGCTCGGCCAGGCCCAGCAGCGCCAGGTACCACGACTCGCCCCCGCCTCCGGGCCCGGCCCCGCCGCCCGAGCCCGCCCCGGCCCCAGCGCCGCCCCCGCCGGCCTCCCCGGAGCCCGAGCCCGCCGCGCCCCCCGCCGCCTGCTGCGGCGGCGGCTGCTGCTGAGGGGCCGCGCCGGCCGCCGAGCCCGAACCACCCGCCGCTACCGCCGCCATCTCAGGGCCGCCGCCACAACGCGGGGGCGGGAGCGGCTGCCCGCGCAAGGGCGCCTGGGAGATGGAGTCGCTAGCCTGCCTCACAGGCCAGGGCGGCCCCGGCGCGCATAGGTCACGCGAGAACTCGGAGCAAATCCCGCGCGCGGGCGCAGGGGAGCTGCACTCACTTCCGAGGAGGGCCTATTCTCCGCGAACAGACTCACGGGAAATGTTGTTCTTCTCCCCCGCCTCCTTGGAGGCCTCGCCAAATCGCGCGAGAACTGCGCGCTCTCAACGGGACTTCCCGCGCGCCGTCTCCTGGGAGTCGTAGTCCCTGTCTTTAGCCCTGCCCGGGTGGCCAAATCCGGCTGTTGGGGCGAGGGTGGGATCTTGGGCCACATACGGAAGCGAGATGGCCTTTAATCCTTCCAGATCCCCCACCCCATCCGCCTCCCGCTTTCTAGATTTAGGACTACAACTCCCAGGCGCCTTTGCGGCGCATTAGCCCTCCCCCCTAGTTCCATCCCATAAGCCCAGGTAGCCGCGTTGCATTGTGGGATAACGACATCAAAATGGACAACTCCCGGGATGCTCCAGGTACCAATGTTGTTTCCGCAGCCTAGGCCCCCTCCCTCCCCGCCTGTCTGAGAGAGAGGCCCTCCTCCAGCCCGGCCCCGATCCTGCCCCGATCCCCAGGAGCGGGAACGGCCCCGTCTCCCAGGCAGGGCCCGGCCCGTCCCGTCGCAGGGGGCTTAACTCCTCGTCTAGCTCAGGGGGTTCAGCCCCATTCGTTCTCTCCCCAGGCTGGAGCCCGGCATCACGTCTAAAGGGGCCGCCCCTGCAGACCCGGCCTCTCGGCAGCAGGGCTGGCGGGGCGCCTGCGGTGGGTCTGCCACCTGTCCCAGCCCAGCCCTGGAAGCGAAAAGCCTTTCTCCCTACTCCCCGCTAAGCCCATCAGCAGCCACCTTCCCGCCCTCGGCCCTCTGGCTGCAAAGCTGTCATTGTACACATGGGGTTGACTTTTAAAAAGTGATATTTTAAATGTCTGATTGATACATGCACAGCCAAGCCCTTCAGCGTGGGAGACAGCACTGTCATCTCGTCTGGGAGAGTCTCTAGCCGAATAGAATAATGCGCTGTCTTTCTGGAACACCTTTTGTTTGAGGATTTCTAAAGCACTCACAAAATGTAGGTCAAGTCTCACGGTTGTGTCCTGTTAGAGGGAGCAAATCCAAGGATTTGTCTACACTACAAGCACTGCAGCAAGGCTGCTGTAGTGCAGCTACTCCAGTGATGGAAGGGGTTTCTCCCTTGCTGTGGTAAATCCACCCCCTCAAAAGGCAGTAGCTAGATTGATGGAAGAATTCTTCTGCATCTACAGTGGGGTTTGGGTTGACCTAACCATGTTGTACAGGATGTGAAATTGTTCACAGTCCTGAGCAGTGTAGCTAGGTCAAATTAGATGTAGACCAAGTCTGAGGTAGAGATTAAAGGACTTAACAAATGTCCCCTAATCAGATGATGTAAAAGTCAGGAATAGTAGAAGTGGGAACGTGGCTTGTTTGCTTTTTCTCTCATGCCCCTCCAGTTATTTATAAGCACTCTAATAATTCTCTAGATGATCTCATAAAGGGAAGAAAAGGGTTTTAATTTTGATCCCACTTTGTTTCTCCAGGAAAAGCTAGCAGATGGTTTGGCGTTACGCCATCTAAATCTGTGAAGATGAATATGAATATCCTTCATCAAGAGGAATTGATAGCACAAAAGAAGAAAGAAATAGAGGCCAAAATGGAGCAGCAAGCAAAACGGAATCACTTGGCCACCCAACAACCCCCTCGGCTCAATGAGTGCGTAAGAATCATGGGGTTTTGTCACTAAATTTTGTTTCAGAAACCATTTACATACATGACTGTGATTTAAAAAAAAAAACACTTTAGTACAATTAAACATCTTTTTATGCTAGGCAGTTTTCAGTGTCTTCTCTCCTTTCTAAAATATTGTCCATGGTTGAGCAGCTAGCAACAACAATAAACATGATTGTTGCTAGCAGAGTTCTAGCATGTTTTCCCTGGGGCTTTCTGCCTGATACTTGTATTATGTAAACCTTGTTTTGGAAACTACTATGGGGTTAGTCTCTAGCATGGTTTGGTTAGTGCAGTTCTCTGAACAAATGCTGCTCAGGGAAATGATACAGAAACTCCACTAGCAGCAGCCCTGTTTTAGTAGGGTGGGGAGTGAACTACATGGGATGCACAGATAATTCCATAATAAGCAAATTTTGTGGCTGTGAAGCTTTAGAAAACTTAGGGGCATTTTGTACAGTGAGAGAGACATCGTCCAAGCACTCGACTGGGAGTCAGAAACACCTGAATTCTCACTCCAGCTCTGACCATGACTCATTGCAGGTTTAAGTGACTTACTCAACTTCCTGTTTCACTTTCCAATCCATTAAGTAGGATTACTAATACCTAACGGGGATGTTGTGTAGATTAATTAGTATCTAATGTTTTGAAAATGCTATATGATCGGGAAGTACTAAGACAGGTGGTCCCTTTCCACCTTGAGAGATTAGCAATTATTGGCATTTTATTTTTCTCTCTGAGCTACAAGGAAGGACATGAAGCATCTAACCTCGTTCTCTTCTTTTTTTCTATTTAGAGATGAAAGTGGTGAAAGCGAAGCCTCTGTTTCCAACAAATTTGCCAACGACGGCAGCTTTCTCCAGCAGTTTCTTAAGCTGCAGAAGGAAAAATCAAGTACTGGTAAGTTGACTCTTGAGCAACAGGAAATCCTCCCTCTTCTCCTTTGTGACACCAGCAGCATGAGAGCTGCTCCGAAGGTGTATTTATGCTAAAGAGCCCAATGTTAGGGAGTGCAAACTGTTTGCTAACATTGGTTACTTTAAATACTGAAATAGAAGTAGTCCCTCTAAATTGAGTTGAAGTTGACTTGGTGAGGCGGTATGTTGTACAGAAGCTTGCATTGCTACCATCTGTATTTAACAAGATGTGTTCTCCAACTTGAAATGCATTTTCTTAACATTTCCGGGAGATCCTAGTCTTCCTTAAACTCAGTTGCCTGGCTGAGTTTGGTGTTTACCAACAAATATCTGTAAACCTAAAATTAAACACAATCCACTGTGGCAACCATATTGGTGCCCTATGCAAACTACTCAGTTAAATCAGAAAGGATACACTGATTATTTCCCCCCCCCCCTTCTTTTCTAAGAAGCTTCCCCAAGTTCTGGCAACGTTTCTGCAAACACCTCTGCTTCAAGCACCGGAAAGAAACCCATTCTGCTCGGGAAACGTTCCAGCTTGGGCACGAGCAGCATGGTGAACCAAGTGAAGAATTACTCCCATTCCAAACAGATGCCAGTTGCTAACCGCCTCAGTGTGTTTCAGTCACCAGATGACGATGAAGAAGAGGATTATGAGCAATGGTTGGAAATTAAAAGTAAGTTACATCCTATTAAACTGAAATTCACCTCTTATTTATTTTGCATGTAGGTTCAGTTAGCCTATTAGTAAGGGTTCAAATGGGAAACAGCTTGGTTTAATGCTTCTTCAGACTTCAGTTTACAGTCTTTCTTATGGGGAAAAGTTATTGCTTGATGCTTTCTCATTGGAAAGATCTTACTTTCTCGTGTGCTGTGATTTGGTAGTTCTCAGCCCAGATCCCAATTGCCAGGTGTCTGCATCACAAATTAGAAACACTATAATTGACACTGATTGGCCCCCTTGTTGCCAGCTTCATGACTGGGGCTGAGGATTGAATTACTGGACCATGGAGAGTGAACTCCCGCCACACTCTTAGATACTGTTCCTCCAGTTTGGGGCTGATACACATTTGTTAGCCAGAGTGGGGGAAGCTCCCGCTATCATTGCCTGTGCTGTGAATAGAGGACTCTCTTCTCCAGGGCTGTCAAGCCAGCACCTTTCACCATTACAAAATTCACACTCTCTAAGGAGTAGGGAGGGGAAGGATGTGTTCTAATCTTTCCTCTACTTAGTTGAGCTTGGTTAGATGGTGGTAGTAGGAGGGTGTCTGCCTTTCTGCAGCTGGAAATCAGGCTGGATGGTGCACAATTCTTTTTTAAAAATGTGGTCGTGAGACACATCTGGTTTGTTTTAATTGTTGAAAATGAAAGGCTCCCTCTTCAGGAGTGGCTGTCTGAACACTAAGCATGTTATGGAGATCAGACAGAAGTGAAGCCCTCCCATCTTTCCAGAGTTTCATTAGGAAATCACCATTTCAGACATCTTGACTGTGAGCTTCTTTCCTTACCCTTTAAATCAAGCTTGGATCCTTTTTTCTAAAAGAGAAGCTCTAGGAATTATTTTGGGAAAGTTTATGGCCTGTGTTATACAGGGTGTCAGACTAGATGATCAAATGTCCCCTTCTGGCCTTGGGATCTATGGGCTTGTCTACATTACCCGCTGGTAGTGATCAGTCCAGCGGAGGTTGATTTATCGCGTCTAGACGTGATAAATCAACCACCGAGTGCTCTCCCGTCGACTCCGGTCCTCCATCAGGGTAAGAGGCGCAGGCAGAATCGACGGGAGAGCGTCAGCCGTCGACTTACCGCAGTGAAGATACCGCGGTAAGTAGATCTAAGTATGTCAACTTCAGCTATGTTATTCACATAGCTGACGTTGCATAACTTAGATCGATCCCTCCCCCTCCCCCCAAACCACACACACACACACCCCGTAGACCAGGTCTATGACTTCTTGATTAGGTAGGAATATCAAAGAGAATGAAGAATGCTGCAGCATATCAAATAACAGAAAGTCTCATTTAAATTTGGGACCAAGATGATCTTAGAGAAACTTATTGAACCCTGCTTCCCAGCTAGTACATTGAATTGCCATTCATGATGTGCACTAATGGTTTACAAGCAGAGTCAGTCTGGGCATATTTACAGACCTTTTAACTAGGCTTTGTGTTACGTGATTACATAAACTGTGAAATGGTCTTAGTGATGCATTAGAAAGACGACTTTTTCCTCTATGGGATCAGCCTTATTGCTATTTCCAGCAGAAACTGAAGCAAAAAGCTCA